GGGGGGGGGGGGGGGGGGGGGGGGGGGGGGGGGGGGGGGGGGGGGGGGGGGGGGGGGGGGGGGGGGGGGGGGGGGGGGGGGGGGGGGGGGGGGGGGGTGTTAATAGGGAAAATGAGAGGTTTATATGTCATTATATGTACAGGAATATGTCTCTCTACTAGAATTCAAAGAATTAAAATTTATAGGCAGGGGAAATATTTATCTTGGCATAGGATATTCGTGCTCTAACACTTGGGGCTCGAGTGAGTCCACGTAGTTGAACTAGCTCTACTCGATCATGTATAAAATGGCAGCAAAAATATTTGCAAGCGACGAAATGGAGGGTTTGGCTACGTTCATTATTTTTATTTTTTGCTTTGAACTCTCGAAGGACTTATTTTGTTTAATTTCTTTGGATTTTTTAAGGATAATATTCATTAATAACTTAAAAATACAAAATATTTCCCATAATACTGTCCCATTTTTCACAAAAATATTGTTTTCCATTTTATAAACTTTTTTTTCCTACCTCCTTACTTCCTATATACCTTTTTGTAACACAATTGGTTACTACATCGACACCACAATGACCACCACCACCAACATTGATGCATGTAATAATTGTAACAAGCTATATTAAGTCATCGCCACCACTGTCGATGCCATCACCGCTAACAATCGTCACCACTACGACCACCTCCTCAAACCCGCATACTACCATAACCAATCAACTTGGACACCATCACCCCCATCATCTCTACCACCACAATCATGAAATTTGCACTATCACCACTATTGAAAAAGCCCACGATCTTCAGTCAAACTCGATGCCTACTATCTCCAGCTTCACCATTTCATCCACATAGGCATCACGGCCTTAACCTTCACCTTCACCACGACCACAACCTTCAATCACCATATGTGCACTACTCGTCATTGGATTCAATCAGCAAGTTGATCCACAGTGGATACCTGTCACCATTCCCTACATGATCACGAAAGAGGTGGAAATCAATTTACGGGAGTAGAATATTGGGTTCAAGCAGATAAGATTTTTTTTTCAGAAAAATTCAATGATTCTTTTCCTCACTTTTGAAAAGAGAATGCATAGTAGAATAATTTATTACTTGTGGTGGGTGTCAATAGTTGGTATAGAGGGGAGGACCCAGTGCTCCCCATGAGAAACTAATTGAAACGTGTCGAAGGATGAGAGGATTTGGTTTGTGAAGAATTAGTAGGGCATTTGATGTTAAACCAACATTGTTTAGTGTTTATATTGTAAGAGAATCCTCAAAAAAGTATCGAGGCATTGATAATCACAATAACATTACTTTAAGTTCATACAAAAACTTTTTAAAAAGAAACAAGAATAATAGAACAATTTATTATGTGTGGTAAGGACTCGATAGATGGACTCACCAATAGAAAACTATTTGAGAACAAGTTAAACAAATAAGAAGAATTTGTTTATTAAGGACCAAATTGCATTTAGAAGATGCAAATTAGCCTAACTTATTATAATTTTATACAAAAAAATATTTTTAGTTGATTTTATCCCTCCCTCTCCCCTGGCGGTCTCATTTGCTGTGTCCATTTTCCGTATGTTTGCGTGAAACCCGCAAGCGTACGAGATCATTGTACACGTAATAAGATTTGTGAGTTAAGAGTATCGTTTCCATGATAAATAAGATCTAATTTGCAATTCAATATCTACTATTAAATTCGAAGTGTGGTGATATCAAAAGACATGATTTATATGTAATCTATATTAATCATAAACTAACAAAACAAATGAAGTCTTTGTTTAATATGTAAATAGCTGTATTGGAATTGTGAATCCCCATATTCCCATTTAATTCAATTCTTAATTCGCATATAGTAAATTCATATATTCAAGGCAATTGATAATCAACTGTTATTTAATATTCTTTTTCAAGATATATTAAACATATGTTTAACTCAATCCAATATTATTCCTAGTCCGAATTCATATTAAAAACATGCATTGATTCATATGATTTATCACACATGATTGCACATGCCATAGATATTGTTGACATCCGACCTTCGAGATCGTTAAATACATTTTGTTGTATGCATTAAGTTCATGCTAATGTAAGTTCAGATATTTGAGATCAGCTCGTATTACGTTATTGCTAAGGTTTGAGAGGACATAATGATTGAAAATTCCTTATACATTGTACAAACAATTAATCGACAAGTGACATATGGAATGTCTTACATCAGCGTCCGCCAATTCCACCAACCACATGCATTTACTTCATTCTATAAGTAGTTCATTAATTATTGGGGACAACATGTAAGGTCAACTCATGATAACCTCACAAGTCGAGCTCACTAATCAATCCGAACGTGCCAATAGTGTACTTTCCCAACTCGGTGCTGTAGCAGATAAGACAAGAAAATGAAGACTGCATGTAAACATTTCCCTATAAAAAGAAGAATGAGAGCCTTGATAGAAGAAAAAAAGAAGAAGAGAAAACAGCTCAAAAACACTTCATATTTCAAATATTTGCTTGAAGGAAAAAAGAACAAACATTTATAGTTATAATAGTAATTTGCAAATCACTATCAATAAAATTTTCATTTACATTTTAAGTTGGCTTGAATCTTGTTCATTCAATTTTCGACGTCAACATATATTATTCATAATATCTATTGTCCATATGTTGATTTTTCAGCGTTCTAGACTTATTGTGAGTATTCATACACTACAACAAACAATTTACTATTTAAGTGGTGATCCAGTAATCAAATAATTCAATGGGAATGCAAAATCAATCAATAAAAATCAAGAAATACTAAACTAATAGTCTTGAATTAGAATAAACAAATAATAGGGTTCATCATTAATTTAATACAATGAAATACTTAGCCTAACATTCTTATAACTAAATTACACAAGAATAATCGGAAAAACATCACTCGAAAATAAGAAAGATTGAAGAAGTATGAGAAATCCACGCTCTTGATTCAAATCTTGTAATCGGACTATGAATCTTCAAAATCTTTTTATGATTCATCTTGAATTAATGTATAGGCTTGTTCTTCTCCTCCAAAATATATAGAATATGATGAAATTTAGGTCGAAAGGGGGTCTCCCACGTTCTGGTCAAGGTTGGTATTAAAAAGATGCAAAAAAAGATTGTATTGAATTATTACCAAAACAAAAATAAGGAAAAACGATTTTTTTTCCTTTTTGTATTGAAGCGCGCACCTAGGCATATCTAGGGCTCGCGCCTAGCTAGTTTGAGATTCCTCAGGCGTCCTATTTTTGGTTGGGGGGCACGCCTCTCTACAGGCGAGGGAGCACATGCCTGGCCTAATTTTTGGCAGTTGAACAATCTCGGTATTTTTTTCATAACTCTCTCTCCCGATATCCCATTGAGGTGATTCAAAGTGTATTGGAAAGATAACTCAAAGATCTAAAAATCTTCTAGAAATAATAATATTTTCAATTCGAACATTTCATATGCCAAAAATGGGTCTCAAACTGAAATTGAAAATTCGAAACATAACTTTTTCAACTGGAAGTTGATATGTGATANTTTAGTCCCAAACTTTATATTTGATACAATTGAGTCATTTTTAGCTATTTTTGCATTCTTTTCTCCAATTTTTCATCAAATATTGAGTTTTACCTACGAAACGAAATATAACACAAATTAGGTAGTATTTTATCCGAAGAACAGTAAAATATCATCATTTAGGATTTCAAATAAGTGTAGAAACTACACTTATCACCTTACTTTCAAGTTGTCCAGTTATTACTCGAGTTCGAAAGAGAAAATATAGATACTCCCATTTTTCACTTCGATTGTCAACGATATGGGTAATTTTTGCATGTTCCAAAGTGGTGAATGAAGAAATTTAAGTGCAGTCCATCTTCACAAATAAGATGAATTATCAATAAATTATGGGTAATTTTGACATGTGGAAGCATCAAACTAGATTAAGAGTGCGTTTGGTAGAGATTAAAATCGGATTAATCAGGTACGTGTACTTGGCTAGATTCAATAAGCCACTCACCACCAAGGCCATCCCTCCTGCTTTCCTCCATCTTCTCAACCTTCTTAGTTGGTGGCGCTATTGTGTCCTTGGCTAGAATCCATTTGCCCTGTGGCCTAAAGTTCGACCTGGCAATGGCTTCTGCTAAGACAACGTTTACAGATTTTTCCTTCTTTTCTTCCTTAATTTTTGTCCTGAAGGAAGAATTATGTTGTATTTTGAAAACCAATACTTTAAAAACCCTCATAACGGGTACCCCGAAACTCCCAAGCTGACACTTAGTTTTCAATAGGAATTGATGGTGTATTTTCATATATGATCAAATGATGCAAAATACAAGCTATATACAAGCAAATTTGATACATATTCTTTAAAACTCATTTACTGATTATCATTTATACATTCTTTCAATTTAATAATTTACACGTGGGCCCATAATTTTTTCTATTTTTTTAACCATATGTTTTCAAAAAAGTATTACTTTTTACAAAATTTATTTTCAAAAATTTACATCAAACATGTCCATAGTATTCAAAGCTGAATTTCCAAACTTTTGTTTTTTATGCTGCAGGAAAAATCCTATAAAATAATACTTGTACTTTCGAAATTAAGAAAAATTATTAATCTAAAAGTATTTTATATTTTTATTTCTTGTACGTGTATTATTTTTTAACCAAGCGTAAAGTGAATAAATGCGAATATACATAGAAGACCAAAAATTAATGTACACAAAAGTTAATAGTAAATATGTTTTGGTAATAAAAATCGCTGAAGAATAGATTATTCATGAATGGATATTGAATATGCCTACTGATGATGGTGTGCTAATTGCATGTTTATCCGGAAGCAATCTACAAAATGAAGAAAGATATTCCAAATGTCGTGGATGAATTGCGAAAAATTCAGATGAGATTGAGTTCGATTTCGGTACAAAGGTGAATCAAATGACTAGATGCACATTTTCAGAAAGAGTTGAATTGTGAAAATAGTAGTTGTCAAAACAAACTTTTTTTAAAAAAATCAAGATGTATACAAATACGTACATAAATAATTTTTCTTTCTTTATGCAAGAATGTAAAAAATCAATAATTGATAGTTTTAATTATAAAAAAATGTTTAAATTCGCAAGATTATATATTTTTCCCCCATTCTCAAGCATGGAAAAGAACTTTTCAATTGTATCCTTAAACAACGTAACTTGAAAAGTACTTCCCTGAAAACGTTATAAAAAAAAAATAACATATTAGTTTAATAGTGAAACTTTTATAAGAAAAGAATTGACTAATTATGGCATTATATAATATATCCCCATCACAAAAAATTAATTTTAAAACTTCAGTGAGATCGTTCTTATTGTAGATTTCAATGGAACATTTTCGAAATATGGATAATTTTATAAACAACTTTTCTTCAAATGTATTCAATTGTCTTATAAAGATAGAATCACAATTTTTATTTGGTGACATCAATCCTACAAATATGCAAAATAAATAAATAAATAAATAAATAAATAAATAAATAAATAATAATAAAAAAAATTAAGAAATGATAACAAAAATATAAACAATTAACAAAACGAAAAAAGTTAGTATTTTTCAAATTAAAATGACGACCTGACTCATTTTGTTGATCTATTGATGAATCACACCTCGTTTATATTAGTGCTTTCGACAATGATGTATTCATCTTTCATGTTTCCAGCATACAAAATAAAAAAGTCATTCATATGAGTTTAATAATTTATTTATCAATATTGAAAAAAAAATCATAGAGCAAATATAGAACATATCATATAAATCTAATATCACACAACACGTCTTTGTCGAGAATGTGATTGTGCTTAGATACCAATATGATGAAGCGATATATGCTATTTAAAATAAACAATTCAAAATTTGTTTAAAATCGAAAATTGGGTAGATACGAAAAAAGGGTTCTCATTTATTTAATAAAAAAATCGGTCA